AGAGGTACTGGAGCTGCCGGAGCTGGTGGTGCTGCTCGTGCTGGAGGTGCTACTGGAGCTGCTGCCACTGGAGGTGCTGGTGTTGCTGGTGCTGGAGGCGCTGGAGCTGGTACTGGAGCTGCTGGAGCTGCTGGTCCTGGAGGTGCTCGTACTAGAGGTGCTGGAGCTGCCGGAGCAGGTGGTACTGCTGGTGCTAGAGGTGCTGGAGGTGCTACTGGAGCTGCTGGCACTGGAGGTGCTGGAGGTACTGCTGGAGGTGCTGCTGGTGCTGGAGGTACTAGAGGTGCTGCTGGTGCTGGAGCTACTAGTCCTGGAGGTACTGCTGGTGCTGGAGGTGCTGGAGGTACTGCTGGAGGTACTGCTAGAGGTACTGCTGGAGGTACTAGAGGTGCTGCTGGTGCTGGAGGTACTGGAGCTGGAGGTGCTGGAGCTGCTAGTGCTGGAGGTACTACTGGTACTGGAGGTGCTGGGGGTACTGGAGCTGCTGGCACTGGAGGTGCTGGTGCTACTGGTGCTGGAGCTGCGGGAGCTGCTGGTCCTGGAGGTGCTCGTACTAGAGGTTCTGGAGCTGCCGGAGCTGGTGGTGCTGCTCGTGCTGAAGGTACTACTGGAGATACTGACACTGGAGGTGCTGGTGTTGCTGGTGCTGGAGGCGCTGGAGCTGGTACTGGAGCTGCTGGAGCTGCTGGTCCTGGAGGTGCTCGTACTAGAGGTGCTGGAGCTGCCGGAGCAGGTGGTACTGCTGGTGCTGGAGGTGCTGGAGGTGCTACTGGAGCTGCTGGCATTGGAGGTGCTGGAGGTACTGCTGGTGCTGGAGGCGCTGGAGCTGGAGGTACTGTAGGTACTGGGAGTGCTGGAGCCACTGGTCCTGGAGGTGCTCGTACTAGAGGTGCTGGAGCTACCAGAGCAGGTGGTGCTGCTGGTGCTGAAGGTGCTGGAGGTGCTACTGGATCTGCTGGCACTGGAGGTGCTGGAGGTGCTGCTGGTGCTGGACCTGCTGGTGCGCTTCGCCACCTTCTCGGTCTTCCGCCAGCTCCTACTGAGTTCCCAGTCGCTGGTACTACTCCTCCGTTACTGTTTCCACAGCTCCTGCCTCACTCCCCACTGCCTGCTCCTACTCCTTACACTGCTGTGACAGAGTCCCTGACTGAGCGTCGAGCGCCTGAGACTCGTGCTTCCGTTCCTGCTCGTGTTCGTCGTGTGCGTCGTCCTCGTGCTCCGGCTGTCCCACGCACTCACGATATGACACTCCGTCCTTCCTCTGTTCCACAGTGTGTTGTCCTACCGTCACCTCCTGCATCTTCTCTTCCTGACGTTGCTGACCCTCCGTCTGACCTTGCTCGTGCTTCCAGTCCGACTGTCACTCGCTTTCTTGCTACAGTTGTGACGGACCCTACGTTCTCGTCTCCTGCTGCGTCTGCCTTTGTCGCTGAGCTAGTTGACTTTGCTGCTGCGCACCGCCTAGACTACCTTGCGAGTCTTGTTTGTGACCCTGACCCTGCCTGTCCTCCGTCCGTCGGGGGTGAGGTTGCCCTTGGCTGTGACGTTCTTGAGGACAGACAAGAGGAGCTGGAGTGTCTTGCGGCCGCTGCACCCCATCTCGCGACCATGCTGCTTGCCCTTGAGGGAGACCCGAATGCACTTGACATCCCCACCCCGCGCTCTTACAGAGAGGCGATCTCGGGTGAGTACTCCTCTCAGTGGCAGACAGCCATGGACGCAGAGATGGCTTCCTGGAAGTCCACAGGCACCTACGTCGACGAGGTTCCCCCACCTAGGGCGAACATCGTCAGTGGCATGTGGATTTTCAGGGTGAAGTGGCCGCCGGGTTCTCCGCCTGCCTACAAGGCACGTTACGTTGCTCGAGGTTTTAGTCAGCGTGCGGGGGTCGACTTCTTTCAGACCTTCTCCCCCACCCCGAAGATGACCACTCTTCGGGTGTTGCTATACGTTGCAGCTCAGCGTGACTACGAGCTGCACTCCCTCGACTTCTCGACAACTTTCTTGCAGGGCAGCCTTCACGAGGCCATCTGGTTGCGCCGTCCAGAGGGCTTCACTGGGTCGTTTCCTGAGGGTACTCAGTGGAGCCTACGGCGACCAGTGTACGGCCTGCGTCAGGCGCCCTGCGAGTGGCACGACACACTGAGGACGACACTTGCGGCTCTTGGGTTTGCTCCTTCGACTGCTGACCCGTCGCTGTTTCTACGCACCGACACTACTCTGCCGGCGTTCTACATCCTCGTGTACGTCGACGACTTGGTTTTTGCTACTGCTGACATTGAGGCACTGGCCCTAGTGAAGGCGGAGCTGCAGGAGAGACACACCTGCACTGACCTGGGTCAGCTGCGGAGTTATCTTGGCTTGCAGATCACCCGGGACAGACCACGGCGCACCATCACCCTGACTCAGTCACACATGGTGCACCAAGTCCTTCAGCGCTTCGGCTTCACGTGGTCCTCGCCACAGCCCACTCCTCTGTCTACCGGCCACTCGCTCTCAGCTCCACCTTCGAACGAGTCCGTAGAGCCGAGTGGTCCGTACCCAGAGCTTGTGGGTTGCCTCATGTACCTGATGACGTGCACACGACCTGACCTCGCGTACCCTCTCAGCCTCCTGGCTCGCTACGTGGCACCCGGTAGACACCGAAAGGTGCACTTTGATGCTGCGAAGAGGGTACTGCGTTACTTGTGCAGTACATAGGGCATGGGGCTCGTGCTTGGAGGACGGGGTTCAGTGGTCCTCACAGGACACTCTGACGCTTCTTGGCCCGACGACCAGGCGACTCAGCGTTCGTCACAGGGTTACACCTTCAGTCTTGGCTCTGGTTCTGTCTCGTGGAGGTCCACGCGTTCTTCTTCTGTGCTTAGCTCCAGCTGCGAGGCCGAGATCTACGCTGGGGCCATGGCTGCACAGGAGCTACGCTGGCTGACCTATCTGCTGACCGACTTGGGGGAGCGGCCTCGTTCTCCTCCAGTTCTGTACGTCGACAACAAGGCAATGCTTGCCTTGTGTCGCGAGTAGAGACTGGAGCACAGAACGAAGCACATTGCTCTTCGCTACTTCCTTGCGCATGAGCTACTGCAGCGTGGTCAGCTGCGCCTTGCTTACGTGGCCTCTCGGGCCAACACTGCTGATGTCTTCACCAAGGCCCTTGGGTCTGGTGATCATCAGCGTTTCTGCACAGCTCTTGGGCTTGTGCCCACTCTGCCTCACCTGATGGTTGCTTGACTTGCTCTTGTTGTACACTGATATATATCTTTATACCTGCTTGTTTCCTCTTGCTAGGTTGTGATCAGTGTACTGCCTTGCTATTATAACTCTGCATGTGAACTGGCCTTGTGGCCGCTTGCTTGTGCTCAGAATGCGTGGTGATCTTGACATCCACCCTGAGCTTTGCTTTGCTTTGTTCTCTTGCCTGACTGGTCTTGTGACCGTCTGTTGTGTTTTCTCTCTCCCACTTAGCCTATGGGGGTGTGTCAAACTGTATGTTTGTGTTCTCTCTAGGCTATAGTGGGTTAGCCTACAAGGGGTACAACACTTTAGGGTTAGTACTTGTACCCAACTCATTCATATTTCATTCATTCCTGCCTACTGATTCTAACACTCTTTTGGGGATAAGGACGGTTCGTCCAGGATGTTCGCAAATGCAGCAACACGATGATGTAGTGCGGGTTCCGTGGGGATTCGGAAAAGAACAATGGTGACGTCATTCCCTAGGTAAGATTAGAGTGTAAAGTCTCGTGCATTTCGGAAATGCAGTCCTTATCCAAGGCAAAACAAGTGGCGACGACACTTCGAGTCTTCAACGAAAGGTAGCTAGCGTAACATTTGTCGGAACGATTCTCATGGAAGATGGGAGTTCTGCGCGGTTCGACAAAGGGGTTATGCTGCCAGCCATACTTCGCTTGTCCCAGCCAGTGGTGCCATGGAGTTGGTACAGCACGCGTCTGCCGTGTCCGCCTTGTGGCATTTCTAGGTGGAACACGGTTCTACGGTATGTGATTTGTGAAGCATACCACTTGGTTCCTGGGCATATTATGGATGTGAAGTAAGACGATATGAAGAATCTGCACCAGGTATCCAGCCTCATGCCGCCTCAAATACTGGGGTAGATAAAAAGCAGTTATCTTCTGCTGGCTTTAAAATGGACATAAGATATGACATTCACATTTTTACAAGTGTTTCCAAAACAAGTGTGTCAAGTTTAAACGGGATGTGGATAACCAGAGGAGGATAAGACCTTTGGTTGGCAGTTGAAGTTGAACCAAATCAGGTGTGTTGCCACATCAGCTGTGCGTGCTATCAGATGCCACATCAGCTGTGCGTGTCCACAGGTGTCACAGCGTCCAATCGAGAGTGATCCAGAGTGGGAACGAGATCCGATGCGATGCGTATGAGGTCGAGGAACTCATAGTCCCACAGCACCTCGCCATCATAGGCGTAGTACTCCTGCAGTGAACAACAGTGTGAGGGAGTGGAGTGGCGTGCAGGGGGCATAACGAATGGTTGAGAGGTAGATGACAAGTCGCGCAGAGGAGGTGGAGGAACTCGTAGCCCCACAGCACCTCGTACGCATAGTACTCCTGCAGTGCAGCAGCAGCGTGCAGAAAACAGCAGCGTGAAGAGCATGGAGTGAACAGGAGTGGAGAGGGGTGCAGGAGCATAAAGAATGGTTGAGAGGCAGATGGCAAGGCGCTCAGAGGAGGTGGAGGAACTTGTAGTCCCACAGCACCTCACCATCGTAGGCATAGCACTCCTGCAGGAAAAAGAATGTGCAGAAAGCAGCAATTCGTAGAGAACAGGAGTGAAGAGGGATGCAGGGAGCATGAAGAATGGTTGAGTGGCAGATGGCAAGTCCCAGAGGCTCCTAGTCCCACTCCTCACCATCGTAGGCATAGTACTCCTGCAGAGAAACAGCAGGGGAGAGGGGTGACTCACCTTGACCACGTTGACTCACCTTGACCACGTTGACTCACCTTGCCTTGACTGCGTTGACTCACCTTGACCACGAACACCGGCTGCATGGTGGTGCGTTCAAGACCGGAGATGGTGAGGGAGAAGGAGGCATCTGCTGCCAGCAGGTCGCTGAGTGAGAGGCCGTGCAGAGGACTCGATTCGTCCACTATGTGGCGCAGATTGAAGCCAAAGCGCATGTAGGGCAGCTGGGAGGGAGGAACGGGATGGTAAGGACAAGTGAGTGAGTGTAGCAGGTGTGACAGCAGGTCGCAGAGGGAGAGGCCGTGCAGGGGACTGGAATCACCCACTATGTGGTGCAGATTGAAGCCAAAACGCATGTAGGGCAGCTGGGAGAGATGGGGCAAGGGTGGGACCATATGTTAGTGAACAGAGTGAGGCAGATCACCTTTTTGGAGGGGTTGCGAGGGTGGAACGGAGAAGGTCAAGAAATTGAGGCAGAGGCAGGGCCAGTTACAGAAAAACTCCTGGCAGGGTCAGGGCAGCAACACTACTCACATCGGATTTCACAAGCTGCAGGTCATGCAGGAAGCAGTGCACCTCCCCGGAGGGGGTGAGAGGGTGGAAGAGCGGATAGAGAGAGTGAGGCAGAGGCAGATGCAGGGGCAAGGACATGGGATGACATGATGTGATGAGCAACGCTACTCACATCAGATTTCACAAGCTCGAGATCATGCAAGGAGCAGTGCACACCCCCGGAAGGGGAGGGGAGGAAGAGGCGCAGCGAGAGGGCGACCTTCACGTTCACCAGCTCGTGGGAGTTCAGCCCAACCAGGGCAAACCGTGCTGTGAGAATCCTGTGGTTAGTGTGTGCGAGCAGGCAGCGGGGGTAAGAGGTGATTTTTTTATTGAGAATAAGAGGCACGTTCACCAGCTCGTGTGTGTTCAGCCCCACCAGCCCAAACCGCACTGTGAGAATCCCGAGTGAGTGGCGGAGAGTGAGGAGCTAAGTTGCTCATTTACGTCCTGGAGGCCCACTTACACGTAAAGTACGCGTAAAAGTACATGTACTTACGTTTACTTACTCCGGGCAGGTACAATTTTTTCTCTTCGTATGGTTCTGACGTCTACATTCTGCTTAGGTCTAGATTGTAGTGGTGTTAGTAAAGTCGTGAGATTACATTACTCGTGTACGCTCCTAACGAGTAAAATGGGGCAGTGTCGGAAAAGTTTTTAGCTGGCCGTACATAAGGGCATAATCTGGGAGGTGCGTAAACGTACGTAACGTACGTAACTGTACGTAAACGTAAAGAGACGTAAACGTAAACGCAAAGGACCAACTTAGGTGAGGAGGGAGGGTAGTTTTGAGGATAGCTTTGAGTCGAGTGAAGAAGACATATTTACCAGCTCGTGTGAGTTCAGCTGTGAGAACCGCTGAACCCCACTAGCCCAAACCGCGCCGTGAGAATCCAGCTGTTAGTGTGCCGCGTGAGAGCGAGCAGAGGTAAGCAGTGCAGGAGGTAAGCAGTGAGGGAGGTTTTTGTCGCAGCTGAGGGGAGTGAGAGAGGTTAGTTTTCGCAAGAGAGGAGTGCATGCGAGGGAGCAGCAGGGGGGTGCGGATTGGAGGAAAGGGTGTAAGGGGAAGGAGGGAGGACGTGTGACCGGGGATAGATTCAAAAGAGAAACTGAGAGTGAACAACAGAACAGAAACAAATAAATTCCCTATGCACCACGGCACCGCCCCTCTTCCTCTCCTCTCCTCTCCTCTCCTCACCTCTACTTCTCCTCACCTTCTCTTCACCTCCTCCTCTCCTCACCTTCTCTTCACCTCCTCCTCTCCTCACCTTCTCTTCACCTCCTCCTCTCCTCACCTTCTCTTCACCTCCTCCTCTCATCGCCTTCTCTTCACCTCCTCCCCTCCTCACCTTCTCTTCTCCGTGCCATGGCCAGTCAAGGCCTGAGTTGCAAGAGTGATAAAGCGAGAGCACCGCACCGTCTCTGCTGGCCGGCCGATGCGAGCAAAGACTGGCGATGGGAGGGGAGAGGGGAAAAACAGTGGGAATACAGAGCGGGAGAGCAGTGAGTGAGTGGCAAGGGTGATGAAGCGAGAGCACCGCACCGTCTCTGCTGGCCGCCCGATGCGAGCGAAGACTGGCGATGGGAGGGGAGAGGAAGAGCAGTGGGAGTAAGCACAGAACAGGATCAGAGTGACTGGGTGCTGAGACACACCCACCGCGAAGCACCCACCTGCACCGCTGAGGAAGGCAAAGACAGAGTTGAGCTGTGCAAGCAGCGTGAAGAGGTCAGAGCGAGGAGAGTGGAGGAGAGTGGGGAGGCAAGCAGAGAAGTGAGAGAGAGGAGGAGGGGAGGGACACACCCACCTGCACCGCTGAGGAAGACGAAGTTGAGCTGAGCGAGCAGCGTGAGTAGATTGGCGAGCATCAGAGCAGAGGGGGAGAGCACCTGCAGAGGCGAACCTCCGAACGTGGTGCAGAGGGAGAGGCTGTGGGGGCGGGGGGAGGAGAAGAGGGGAATAGAAATGGAAGACAGGGTGGGGGAAGGGAGGAAGGGGATAAGCAAGGAGCGAGCGTGGTGCAGAGAGAGGGACGGGGGGGGAGGGGAAGGAGGGGAGGGGAGCAGGGGATGAGGAGAGGGAAAAGGGAAAGAGGAAAAAGGGAAGGAAGAAAGGGGATTGGCAAGGAGAGAGCAGAGGCAGGGTGGGAGACAGGGGCATTAGACAAGTAATGCACCTATCCATGCTCTCATACACACGTGCAACCATGCATGCGTGCACTCATCGACTCATGCACCCGTGCATTCATGGACTCATACACCCATACACCCATGCACCCATACACCCATGCACGCATGCATGCACTTGCGTAGAGGCACAAGGAGGGCTTGAGTATCAGACTGGCAGCGCACGCACACACACTCAGACTCACACTCACACTCACACTCATATTCACCCACGCAAAGAGGAAGAAATGAAGAACCACGTACAGCTGCTGCCCCACGCGCACGAGCGCAGAACACACCCAGCGATACACAGAGACAGGAGCACGCACCCTTTCACGCACGCACACATAGAAGCAGCACTCACGCAAAGAGGAAGAAGTGCAGAACCACATACAGCCACTGCCCCACACGCACGAGCGCAGCACACACCCAGCACAGCGCCACCGCCACCGGACCCGCCCTGCTGGCGCGCTCCCATTGGTCGAGAGGCGGCGCGAGCGGGCCAGAGAGAATAGTGTGAATGTCGAGAGATTCAAACTCAGGGCTGTCTGGGGGGAAGGCGAAGCCGGAGGCAAGGCTGACGAAGAGAGGCGTGAAGATGAGAGCGAGGATGACTGGAGATGCCATTATGAGCAGCACGAATGCCACGTTGTTCAGCTGGGAGAAAGAGGGGGGGTTGAGGGACAGGGGAAGGGAGGGATGGGTTGGGACGCGTCAGTAGAGACACGGCACAAAAGGAGGAAGATAGGAAGTGTCATTAAACAACCAATCGGGATTAATCATGGGTCCACGTGGCTCACTCACCCTGAGCATCCAGTTGTACCCGTGGCTGAGCCTTGTCAGCACTGACGCCTGCTGCTTCACCGCCAGCTTGGATCGCGTCCGGCCACACGGGATGAAGAGAGGCGAGGAGAGAGGGTATGGTGGTGGCGAGGAGGGAAGGGAGGCCTGTTGCTGCTGCTGTGGTATCAGAGGCGAATCTTCTTCCTCTCCTTTTCTAAGGCCCCGTTCTCTCTGCTCTTCATGCTGCTCCTGCTGCCCCTGCTGCTCCTCCTGCTCCTCCTGCTCCTCCTGCTTCTCCCTCTGTTGCACTGTCCTGTTTTGCAGCAAACCCTCCTGCTGCTGCGGCTGCTGCTCTCCCTCCTCTGCCGCACACCCCTTCCCCTCCTGCCTCCTCCCTCCCGATCCACAACTTCCCGGAACCTCCCCACAGGCACCGTCCAGGAAGCTTCCTCGGATGTACCGATGGGCAATTTGTCCCATGTAGGCACAGATGGGCGGCACGGGGAGCTCCTCAGGGACCTCTGAGGGCGGCGGCGGGCGGCGGCGAATGAAGAATCGCGCACACGGGCCGGCATTGCTTGTCCTACTCTGAGCGCCGTTCCCATGTTTCTGTACAGGGGCGGCAGCGTTTGTCTCTTTCTGAGAATCTAATGTTGCCAAGTGGGGAAGAATTAGATCCTGGGGGAACACGGAGAGCTGGGGGGCGGGGGGGGAGTGGGGGGGAGGGAAGATGGGGGGAATGGAGGGGTGGTGGGGGGAGGAATTTTGAGACGACTCAGGAATCAAGTGGGGAAGAATCAGGTCCTGGGGAACACGGAGAGCTGAGGGGCGGTGGGAGGGTGAGGGAAAGACGGGGGGAATGGAGGGGTGGGGCGGGGGGAGATTTTTTTAGACGTCTGACAAACCAAGTGAGGAAGAATCTGGTCCTAGGGGAAGACGGAGAGCTGAGGGTGGGGGTGAGGGGGAAAGATGGGGGGAATGGAAGGGTGGGGCGGGCCGTCTCAAAGTGCGGAAGAATCGGGTCCTGGGGGAAGGCGGAGAGCTGAGGGGAAGGGGGAATGGGGGGGTTGGGGCGGGGGAAGAAGGGGGGGGAGAGGGGGAGAGAGGGGAAGGGGAACCGGATTATGGTAACTGAATCCTGAGGTGGTCATAACACGCCGCTAGCTACCATCCCTGCCGTGCGTACCTCGCTAGGGAGATTCAAGAGGTCGTGACACAAGTAGTGACTGGAATGAATAATGACTGGAATGAATAATGCATAATGCGCTAGTGCTTCAGAAGTAGTTTTGAGTCGACTCAAAACCTCGCGAGGGGGATTCAAGAGTGGTCATGACACAAGTAGTGACTGGAATGAATAATGCATAATGCGCTAGTGCTTCAAAAGTAGCCATGACACGTTGCTGCCTTCCCCGCCGTCCCGCCGTCCGTACCTCGCGCGCGAGATCTAAAAGTGGCCATGATACACGTAGTGACTGAGGTGAATAATGTGTTAGTGCTTGCAAAATTAGTCATGACACGCTGCTGCCGTCCCTGCCGACCTGCCGTCCGTCGTACCTCGCGCGCGAGATCCGCGGCTGACGGCGAAGCGCGAAGCGACGGTACCGCGTCTTCGCGGTGCTCGCCCTCCCTCCCCGCGCCCATGGCTCTCCCCCCGCGCGCGCGACCAAGAAAGCTATGCGGACTGCAGGTATTGCCGGCGGAATGCCGTACTCGCTATACGATAATTCTCCCTACTTAGAACAATTTACGACATAAGGAGAAAGATAACTGAATGAGAAAAGGTGAGGACTGAGGAATCCGCAACCTGCTTACCCACGCTACTGGTGCTGTCTCTGAACGAGTTGGCAGGAAAATATCACACAACGTGTGGAGTGGAAAGAATGGAGAGGGCGAGTGAACATGGGAGTCGTGCGGTGCAGTCAGGTTTCATGTGTTCGGATGCGGTACCTAGCGAGGTTCACAAACTATGACGCTAGAGCAAGTTCCATGAGGTTTCGGCAAAGCCTGGGATGTCGTCATCCACGATGCCAATGCGAGGGCGTAACTTCATGTCTGGCGAATAGAGTCTGTGTTTCGCAAATGCGGTCATGATGGCAAAATAGGTGGCTGCGAAACTGAACATTTTTCAACGAAACAAAGAAACCACGCTATTTCGTAGTGTAGTTCATTCAAGTCAGTCACGAGAACAAGCTGCCACGACAGAAGATGAGAAAATATGTCAATGGTAACTTACAAGGGACACTAGGGTATAGTTACCATTCTCGTGATGGGCTGCTAGTGTATAGTTACCATACGCATTAAGCGAGTTACCAAACGTGTTAAGCGAGTTACCAAACGCGTTAAGCGAGTTACCAAACGAGTTGAAATCGTTACCGTACGCGTTATAATGCCCCGTGTAAGTAACCATTGACATATTTTCCCACAGAAGATTCCCTCACGCACTGATTGGTGTGTGTCAGATTGCTCTTATCAGGCAGAGCAATGCGCAGCCTGCATAGGCCAAAACAGAGAGTTACCACAAATTTCGTAACCTGGGCGCAGAGACTTGGTCCGCCGTTTCGCAAATCGCCATATGGCCGCTTGCCTAGAATCTGTATCCACGGCTAGGATTCACTTCGCTCCTAGTGGCTGGAACAACGGCTTCAAATTCAAGCCATTGGGCTTGCCGCGTTCCAAACTGACACGACGACTCTGCGGCTCCAGATGAGACGACAATCGACGGTTCCTAGATCACAGAGTCCAACGTTCACCAGCTAAATCCCGCAGCTCCCGCCTTTGTCAACGGAATCTCGCTGTAAAAAGTTGGTGCCGTTTGTCTCGAGTAGACGCTGAGGTGACATGAGGGGACAAGCGAACATCGTAAACTTGGCAATAACTTTTCGCTTCCCTGACCGTCAGGGGATTCATGTGCCACGCGGACGATTTTCAACCAGCCACTGTCGAATCCTCTGTCATGGAAAAAAAATATGCCTGACCGGACCAACCATTCGCAGCCACCGTCACTTTTCCTCGCGACCTTTTACAGCCGTTGTAGACCAATGCGGAGCTTGCTAGGGTTGCCGTGACGAAACACGCAAAAGGTCTGAACCTACGGCTGAGATCTTGATTACCAAGAGAGTTTCAGATAATTCAGTGATTCTGGACGGTAGATCTGACAAGAGGGATGTTGTGAGAGAAGGAGAGGAGAGGCAGTTGGTGACCCCTCCGCCTCATTCCAACGTGACCGTCGAAAAATCGCCTCATTCTCGCCTGAGCCTCGGATTTCACAGCGCTTTCGCCTCTTGCTCTCATTTTCTCACGCTCACCATCTTCTGCTCGTTTTCTTAGAGCTGCTGCGACTGCGAAAAGGAGAGCCGCTAGCAATGCTCGTTCTCAACACATGCTTAGGCATTCTGCTTCAGGTCTGGCTTTATCATTATAGGAGCTTAGGCATTTGCAATACAAGCTGGAGCCATTCTGCTTGAACCTGGCTTTTACGGGAGCTTCGTTACGGGAGGAGAAAATCCGGTGTCGGCGTCATGAAGCCTGGAAGCTTTGGGGATTTCTGCGATGATCAAGGAAGAACTAAGTGCAGGGATGACGATTTTTTAATACAAGGTAAATCTGAGTGCCTGTGCTTATTTTTCTCGTATCCGCGTCTTATTAATCCCTCCAACAGTCTAGGTTTGTAATTTCTTACATCAGCCCGTGTCTCATATTTCTGCCCTCCCAACCAAGTGTAATACGAATGATAACTGGTGCCCGCGTCTCATATTTCGCCCGGATCTCAACCTTCTCTCGTTTAGAAATTCGCCGCTCGTGCACCAATCCCAGGTGCCTCAACCGAACCAAGTGTAATACGGTAGAAAATATGAGACGCGGGTTTTAATGGTGTGATATCTTTCGTTTTAGCACACGCGATATTGTCCTGTGGCGCGTCTGACGTGACCACTGCATGCTGGTTGCAATTTGCAGGTTCTGTCCGTCCGAGACCAAATGACACTCCAACCACCCACGCCATCTGGCTGTCCGTGCTATTTCGGCGAGTACGTGCGAATTCAGGTATTCCCGAAAGCCACACCAATTCAATTTCGCAAATCGATTTTGCGAATGAGTATTCCGTTTGCCTCGCGTCTCAATTTCACATTTCCGGAAAACGTATTCACCGATCAACTCAATCGTACGTTTCAGAAACCCGTTTCAATTCCGCAAACAAATTCCGAATTTTAATTTCATTTCGCATATCAATTTAGTATCGCAGTGTCAGAATGTTGTATTTGTCTAGCCTGCAATGGGGTACTCTATAGCGAGTACAGCCCAATCTAGGGTTTCCTATATGTACTCAACTGCTTGCTAGTGCAACTCCTCTTTCTTGTTCTAAATTTCTACTTGCTCTTCTGACATGGTTTCAGAGCATTTACGCTCTTGGCCTGTGGGCCCACCAACCTGCTTCCGCTGCTACTCGATCTGTCGCACGCCCCGTGGCGTGCGACGTATTTTTCATCCCGCCGCGCGCCTCTGGCGCGCGGTGGTTTACTCTCTGGCGCGCGGCCCCTTTTCTTCCTGGCGCGCCGCCCCCGCTGCTCCGTCGCGACGCCCTGGGGAGACGCGCGCGCCCCCTGCCCGTCCGTCGCGGCGCCCTGGAGCGACGCGCGCGTCCCCCAACCGTCCCGTCGCGGCGCCCTGGTGTGTCGCGCGCGGCCCCTGCCGTCCCGTCGCGGCGCCCTGGCGAGACGCGCGCGGCCACTGCTGCTCCGTCGCGGCGCCCTAGCCAGGCGCGCGAGGCTCCTGCTGGTCCGTCGCGGCGCCCTGGCACGGCGCGCACGGCCCCTGCTACTCCGTCGCGGCGCCCTGGCCAGGCGCGCGCGGCTCCTGCTGGTCCGTCGCGGCTCCCTGGCAAGGCGCGCGCGGCCCCTGCTGGTCTGTCGCGGCGCCCTGGCTCGGCGCTCGCGGCCCCTGCTGTCCCGTCGCCCCCCTCCCCCCCCCCCCCCCTGCGTGCCGCCCATTGCTCCCGTGCCGCCGTGCGTTCCGCGGTGGTGGGGGGTGTGGGGTGGCGGGCATGGGGGTGAGCGGTGTGGGTGCTACCCTTCCCCTTCTCCTCCTCCTACTTCGTCTCCCACTGCTGCAGCTGCCGCTGAGGGGGGTGGGGGTGTGGGAGCCGAGTGGAATGGCGCTAAGGGGGTGACGTGGGAGTGGAGCTAGGGGTACAGCAAGGGGTGTGTGAAAGGGGGGTGGGACAGTTGGGGGAGGGTGAGTGGAGGCTGCCGTCTTGTAGTCCGCAGCACCTGTAGTCCGGGGCGCTGTCCTGGTAGCCCAGAGAGTCTGCTGCGCCTGTCGCCCGTGGGTCCGTTGCTCCTGCCGCTCTTCGTAGCCGCTGAGCCAGTTACTCCAGTAGTCCGGGGCGCTGTCCCGGTAGCCACTGTGCCAGCCGCTCCTGTTGCCCGTGTGTCTGCAGCTTCAGCCGTCGCCTCCTATCTCCTCTCATCTTACAGTCCCGCCTC